AGAAGTTGATTTTAAACAGTGATATAAAGACTAAGCACCTTAATGCCAGTTACACAACAACGATTGCAATATGCTACAATGCACTAGATGTATTAAGATGAGTATCAAAGGCAAAATAAGTTTTAAATAGAGCAGAGAAAGGAAGTGTTTTTATTTCTGAATAAACTACAGTGTATTAATTTACCAAGTCTAGCAGACTTGGTAGACTTTGAGGTAGACCGCCAGCCTTTTTTCATTAATTCTAAGTGAACGAAGCAGCTTGAAATACTTCCTTGAAACTACTGCAAGGAGCATTCATTATTTGTCTTTAAATGAAGGTAGAATTTTCAGTAACATTGTCACATGTGTATGTGATTTTGAGATCTTCTGATGCTACCTGTCTACATACCTTACAGCTTAGAGAACAAGTAATTATGAGGAGCAGCTGAGGGAACTGCTCATTGTAGGGGGGTTGGACTAGATGACATTAAAAGGTCCCTTCCAGCCCAAACTATTCTTAGTTTGAGTTGAACTCTATGATTCTATGATTTTATGAATTGGGGTTGTTTAGTCTGGAGAAAAGGAGACTCAGGGGAGACCTTATCGCTTTCTACAACTACTTGAAAGGAGGTTATAACGAGTTGGGTGTCAGTCTCTTTTCCGAAGTAACAAGAGATAAGACAATAGGAAATGGCCTCAAGTTGTGCCACAGGAAGTTTAGATTGGATATTAGGAAAAATTTCTTCACTGGAAGGGTTGTCAAGTGTTGGAACAGGCTGCCCAGGGAAGTGGTTGAGTCACCATCCCTGGAGGTATTTAAAAGATGTGTAGATGTGGTGCTTAGGGACATAGTTTAGTGGTGGGCTTGGTAGCATTAGGTTTACTGTTGGACTTGATGGTCTTTTCCAACCTAAACGATTCTATGATATAGTCTAGATAAATGCTGTTGCTACAGAGGGAAAGTCAGTAAGATATCTAGTTGGCATGTTGCAGCTTACCCTTGTTCCAGCAGTACTGGCATAGTTGGCCAAATGGCCACATTGACTATGCTTTGGAGATCTTTGATAATATATTTCATCTATGAACTATAGTTCATATCTAATTTAATAATCAGAGCTATTTTTTATCAAGGTATACTTTATATGTGTGTAATATGTATATGTGTATAAATTTGATAAATGGTATGGATCTGTGATTTGAGAAAGTTCAGAATACAGTGTTAAGACTGATAAGGACTAGAAAGTACTTGGATTAGTGGATCCTTTCCTCCATTCTGCCAGTGCCTCTGCAGTGTTGACAGAGAAGATCCTAGCGTAGTCTTTTCTACTTATGCTCTACTTTTCTTCTTGTGCTCCATGACTGGAAGTATGACCCTCACTTAATACAGTAACCATCTCATCATATGTCTGGTCCTGAGGAAAGGATGTGCACGTGTGTATCTATCTTGAGTCTCAAGGGCTTTCTCTTTACTCACACATGCTTTCGTAAGCCTTGTTATGTGAAAGGCCAAGTGAGTGGCCCATGTCAGGGCTGTAGCCCGTGGGTAATATTTTTTCCAGTCACGTTGCTGGGGAAGAGACACGGCTGTGGACTTGACTGATTCTTCCCATTCTGAGTGGTCTAAGCTAGCAAAAAATTCAAGAGATGGCCTGATCACAGTCTGTAAGAGCCTACAGCCAAAACAAGAAAACTGCCAGTAGATGCTCTTAACTGACAAAGTTGCAGATAAATGCCAAGACTGGAAGATACAGATAGGCAAATTCAGCATGGAAATAAGCCATGTATTTTCAACAACTAGTATAATTAGCAATTGGAATGACCTAATAAGGTTTGTGACTGACTATTCATCACAGAAATGCTCGAGCTGTGATTAGAGTTTTCTCTAAAAAGAATGTTAGTTAAAACACATTTATTAGCCTTACAGCAAAAATCACCTCAAGGAAGTTCTGTTTTTACAAAGGAAACCAAGACTGGATGGCTAACAATAACCTTGCTTAGCCTTAAATTCCGTTAATTTCCATGGTCCTAGTACTGAGCCTTGCACACACTTCTCATAGCTCTCTACTCTGCATTGCTTCTGCAAATGATTTAGTGTGTCCATTAAGCTCCGCTGAAATCTATCGGAGTGTCTGTGCTATTCTGCATGTTTCAAAGACAGCAAAAAATTTTTAATTAAATGTTTTCAGTCCTTCAGCTGGATCCAAATGAATCTTGGCAGTTCATTTTCCATGTGCAAGCCTGAAACAGAACATTGCTCACGAAACAGAGCCATCTTTACTGTTAAAATGCCCTTGCTGCTTTCTAAGTGAGAAGAGCTCTCTTTTCTGTTTTTCTGTTCTCTCTTTTAGTGGGTCTTAACCCAGAAGCTCTTCCAGTCTCTGTGTGAGTGTGAAGATAGAACTTCTATGGACAGATTCAGAGTGGGATAGGTGCAAGCATTGGCAGGTGCCCAGGGTGGCAGCAGTTTTGTCTTTCTTCTCAGAAATCTGAGTGCCAGCAGTCCCTAAACAGGCTGGAACAGCCCCACAAACTTGTCCAAACAGTTTCTTAGCTGTAATGGCCACCGTAGGCCACTGCAACATCCCAGAAATGATAGTGTGCTTTTGATTGTGCCTCCTTTTGTTGTCACTACCCTGGAATCTACTGTCTTCCAAAACTGCCTGCACTGCAGGTGCCTTCTGGCTCTTAGCTTCTTTTAACCTCAAAATAGCTCTAAAGTATCCTTTTCTCCTTGCCTTTATCTTATGTCATGCCCAAAGTAAAAACATAGGGTCCCTTTTTTTCAGAAGCTCATTTCAATTCCTTGTCCTGAGCCTGCAATACACATGCAGTATTTTGAGTACTAGACAAATACAGAAGAGATGTATTTGATACCACAATTCTAGATGTTCATTTTCACAGCACAGTTTTTACACAAATTAAAGCTTTTGTTTCTACTAAGAAAAGCACAGTTATAAAAATGACATTTACTTGTTTGATGCTTCCTGGGCATTCTTAGAGATGAAATTCCGGATTTTGTCATCACAAATATAATTTTACAGCTTTTTGCTGTTGCTAGCTGTGCAAGATCTTCGGAAGCCAAGTGAGAGGGGTCCTGGATTCTGTTCTTCCCTGAACATCTTTTACTAAGTTCCAGTCAATTATTGCAGCTCTATGCAAGTCTGGTGAAGTCACTGGCGTTGCCCAGGTGCAACCGCAATGAAGAGCCTGAACTTCAGAGCTGGAGTTACAAAGCAGCATGCAGAAGGGAGAAAGTATGTTGCTTTACTCACCGAGTGCAGGCTGAGCTGGCATGGTTGATGGTTAGAAACACCTGCCTTGAGGAGGTGTTCTTTTGTGGGAAAATATAAATAAATGAGATACTTGTGATCTGAGCAAACTGGCTGTGGTTTAATTCACAGAGAAACAGAACTGTTTTCACTTGGTGCTATCCAAGTGCAGTATATTTCCAGGCTTCCACAGCTCCAGAGGCCCACCTGAGGATGCAGAGCTGAATGTTAGATCTTTGCCATATCAGGTAACTCATAAGGAAATAAACCATCCAGTAAAACCTAGATGGTGCTTAATTTTTTTCTTATTTTTTTAAGTTTTTTAAGAATTTTGTTCATGCAGGGAACATACTCAGCACCACCTTAAACATTAAAGCAAGAACGCATCACTACACTCAGAACAACAGCTGTTTTTTCCTCTAATATAATTGAAAATACAGCATTGTCTTTAAATAATCTGAAAGAAAGGTATTAAAATATATATTTCAGTTTAACTTGTTCATCCCAAAAACGTAATTTCTATTGTGAGTTTTTCTATCTGCATATAAATATTTCCCTGCACTTCAGTTTCCTTTGGGGAATATTCCACAGTGTAACATATCTGTCATTGAGATTGTTCTTCAGATGATCAGTTTCATCTTGTTATGTCAAAAAATTCATACACCTGCTGGACTGCTCCAGATAAAATCCTTGCCTGCTTGGCTGACTTTCATCAACGTTTAGGAAAGCTTTCCTGCCTGCCCCTGGCTAAAATCCAGGCAGTGTCCTGTATTGCACGTTATTAATTAGAATGGGGTATGTGCCATATTCCAGGAGAAATCTATGAATGAATTCCACAACCTTAGAATAAACCACACTTACTTGCGGTATGCCAGCATAGTATTTTGATCGCAGACAAGGTGTTCTTGATACCTCACAGTACAGTCTTTTAGCGGCTAGATGGCACTATTGCCAGACAGTAGAATCAGGTGTGATACAAAATACAAAGCAAATGTACAGATTTGGTTTCCTTAGCAGGAGTTGTAACAGAAAGCATCTTTCTACTGCCTACTATATTCATTTAAATTTCAGGATTTGGTACTGCAGTTTGTGCCATGCATGCTCTCTAAGTAACTCAGTAATATTTTCATTCAGCTTTTTCTTTCTCCTCATAATGGCATAGCAACTCCGGCACATTGTTAGATCTCCCTTTGGCTAAGTGCTACAGAGAGTGGCAGACTCATGGCAAAGTCACCTAAGGTTTTAGGAACCACATACATGAAAGAGAAAGCTGACTAGGTGGCATGCTGACCTCTTCCTTCCCTTATCCACTTGTCCTTTCCCATGCACACCCTCTCCTCTCTCATCTTCCTAATAGCCCCCTTTGTATACTTCATTGCAAGAAAAGACTGGGAAAGCACTGCCAGAGTGTCTGTCACTCCACTGAGATCTGTTCGACCTGTATTGCTTTGTCAGTGTTCAAAAGCAAATACAATTTTCCTTACGCTGTTGCACCAACACCATAGATGCTCCGGGAGCTGGTGCTCAGGCACCAATGGACCCACTGCAGGGCATGGCTGGGTCCCTTGGCAAGATGCTGGCACCTCTGTGAAAATGTGTGTAAGAAAGGGTAAAATGCTGCCTGGCAGTGAGCAGTGGGGAAAAAAATGTGCAAAACAGCCCTCTGAGCACCAAAGTGAGAGCAAGAGGAGGGGAGGAAGTGCTCAAAGGGCCTGAGCAGAGATTCCCCTGCAGCCTGTGGAGAGGGCCACCATGGAGCAGATGCCCAAACTGCAGCCTGTGGAGGACCCCATGCTGGAGTGGGTGGGTATTTCCTGAAGGAACTGCAGCTCCTGGAGAACCCACAGTGGAACAGGTTTATCCTGAAGGACTGTAGCCAATGGAAGGACCCATATTGGAGCAGGAGAACAGTATAAGGAGGAAGGAGTGGCAGAGAGGAGCTGTTATGGACTGACCCCATAACCCACCATTCCCCATCCTCCTGCACCACTTGGGGAGGGAAGTAGAGGAGTCAGGAATGAAGGACTGAAATTGGTCCTGGGAAGAAGTTGGGAGGGAGGTGAAGTGGAAGGAATTTTTAGGGTTTTTTTAATTTCTCACCATCCAAATCTATTTTAAAGAGTGAAAAATTAACTTAATTTTCCCCAAGTCAAGTCTGCTTTGCCGGTGATGGCAATTGGTAAGTCATCTTCCTGTCTCTACCTCAGCTCACAAGCTTTTTCATCTTATTTTCTCCCCCTATCCTGTTATGGACAGAGACTGAGTGGCTGGGGGGGCATCTGGCAGCCAGCCAATGTCAACCCACCACAATAGAAAAGACTATTTTTGTCCTGTTCAACAAGGTAAATTTTTTTTTTTTGAGGCAATCCATATTTCATTTACTTATTCCCAGTAATAAACTGAAATGTTAAAAATCAGTTATGCTTCTAAATCTTTATTCCAGGAACTTATTTTATTGAGCTCAGCAGGCACAAAGTGCTTTTGAAAAGTAACAATCTATATAAAACAAGTATTCAGGTGCTAAACCTAAGGCTTCCAAAATGACTGGTGATGCTAAGATGCCTCTGTGTTCGTAATGCACGTGCTGAGATTAAAGAGGGCAAATACTCTAACAACTGCAGTCCTTAAACTCTCCTGAAGTTGGGATCCTTAAATGTGTTAATCCTAATATCTCTTAATGCCTTAAAATGTAAGCTTAGGCACACCTTAGCTTCTGATATTCATCTCTAAAAGTACCTGTCAATCATTGCTTGATTTTCCTAGTTTTTCTTCTTTTTTCCTATAACTCTCCAGTTCTATTTTACTAAAAAAAAAGGGGGAGGGGGATAGGGCAAACAGGTCAAATAGCTATTTCTTTCTCATAATGGACAACTGTTTCCTAACTTATTCCCTGATTTCTCAATTTTGTAAGTTGCTGAGGTATTATCAAGAGTCTTCCAGCACGTGATATTTTTCTTGACTTGAAAAACCAGTAGCTCTTGTCAGAATCCTGGATGATGTTTCAAAATACAGTAGATGTCTCACATCACAAGAAATATTGAACAAAAACCCCCAAAACATGAAAAATCTTAGTCACTTTGCCACTCAGGATTTAGCAAATTAATGATATGTGCAGGTTTCATCTTGATTTTATCATTTCTTATTTTCCAAGATTCTTACTACTAGAGAGATTTTTGAAGTAATTTTCTTGGCCATTTTTTTCCTCTTCCTGGCCCTTCGATATAAATCACAATTTCCTCTTTCCATATCAGCACGGTTATAAAAGATTTTCTTCTTTCATTTAACTGTTTTGGCTAGCATTAACTCATTCTGCTGTTTTGTTTCTTTAGTGTTTTTCCTCTAATGATTATTATAGACAAGGTGTCCTTCAGGCCTTCTTGGAGTATAATCACTTAGACATTCTTTATGACCTGTATAATTGCTGAGTGGTAAAAGCCAAAATGAAATGAAATGCATCTGTGCTTTCACAGAACTGCTTTTCAAAGTAGCCTTCCAGCTAAATGATGGACTCCATTTATTTACTGTATGGAGTATTTATGTAGTGCATACATTGGGCCAAATTATTTGTGCTTCTGCTTGGGTTTGCTATGACCCTGTCTTTACAGCATTCTCCCAAAGGAGAGAATGGTTAACTTGTCTGTTTGAACAGCTGAGTTGAGAAGAGGGGATGCTGAGTAATACTACTTCCCATAGTGTTTGAGGCACCACCAAAATGGCAATGGTTGTGTAGACAGGACTATGTCTTTGGTCTAATTCCACATCCCAGTAAACTCCATGAGAAAATTCATGGCTGCATTTCTGCACTTGGAGTATATACTGTATTCCTAGTGCTAGTTTGGGAAAGTCTTTTACAAAGGCATAATACTCCCAGATTTTTATTTTTATCTGAGGACAATTGTGCCTTAGAAATTGTTTATTTGATCTGAATTCTAATCTGATTTAAATTCACCTAAATGTAGAATAACTCTGGGTTAACTCCAATGTCAGTGAAGTATTAGTCCATGGGATAGCAACGGTGGTTCACAGAAATGCAAACAGCAGCTGGCTCTGTGTCCTGAGTTAATTTGATTATATAGTTGTAGTTTAACTTAAACAAAGTAGTGACCCTATTATTATTTTAAGAAACCTATTTTGAGAGGAGGGAATCATATTTCTTATATAAATTCATTTTCAAATATCTTCTTTAGTTGTACATGTTGCTAGAGATGGAGTTGAGTTTGTGTGGGGAGAGTAAAAGCATACTATATTTCACTGATCACAGTTGCTTTAAATTATGCAATGAAGAGAAAGATTCCGTTTGCATATGAAGAAAACAAGGTTGGCAGCAGAGATCGCAGAGAGGGCTTGCCTTTGTTGTTTCTCTCGTCTATAACACCAAGTTTCTTTCTTCTGTAGAAGAGATATTGGGGTGTATTTGCAAGAATTATCTTAGTGGCCACATCTGCCTAAGGCAACCATTAGACAAAAAATCTGGGTTCAATGGTAATAAGCATTCTTTTCATGATTTCCGTCTCAAGCACTGTTCTTCTAAAGTTTTACAAGAAGCAATTAGAAGTAAACGGTTGAATTTTGCCTTGTGTAAAAGTAAATTAAGGTGAATTTCAGGGCTTTCTCCTGATATGAAATTTTGTAAGAGCTGGATACATTTTTTCAAATATTAAAATGGTATTTTCTGATTTTGCAGACATATTCCATTTAGTCTTTTTTACCCTCTTGTCCTCTTTTCTCTCAAACTAAAGTCTGCTTTAAAATGTCAGTGTTCTAAATCTTATAATCATCTTTAAAATTACAACAGGAGTAGGGAATCACAAAAGTTTTTCAATAACATATCTTACTAACTAATATTTGCTATTGCACAGTTCCATTATGTCTGTTATTTCATCTGTGTGTTTTGTCACAGGATGAAAAGGAGAAGCTGACATGGAGTGACCGTATACCTGGATATGCAGCAAACTTTGGATTGATTTTATTTATGGTAATATAATCTGCATTTCTCCACATTTTTTTGGTGTAAGAAACTTTGCAATGAGCATCTTGAGTGGAATCCTGAATTAGTGTTCTCAAAGATGCTAAAAATTCGAAGAAAGCTAGGATTATAACCTACAGTTTGTGAGAAATACCTGTCCTACTAGGAAAACTCATAGAGCTCAATACCTACCTCTAGATTTATTCTCTTTTTCCAAAGAGAATGAGAGGACTTATGAGAGGGCTGTTGGTTGAAAGACTTGTTTTAATAGCAGCAGTTCATTACTAGATGCTGTCTCTCCCACGGGGTTTCTGCTCCATGCTCCATTAGCTGATGAAGGGAAGCCCGCTGTGCATTTGCTTGCGTGCACAGTGTTGTGCCTGCTCTGTAAGACTGACATTTAGAAGTGTTGAACCTACTGAACAGGTGACGTGCAGGTGAAATAAACCTGTTGCTGATTAGTATTTGTCCAACACACATGCAGGGATGGACTATGCTGTAGTCAATGAAGACCATGGTATACAATCCTCACTTGAGAACAAGATTAACATGTGCAGGTCAGCCAGCTCTAAAGTGTGGACACTGCTGTCCTAGCAAAATTTCCAACAGACCATAAACACATCATCAAGCTGCTAGACTTTGTAAACAGCGATAGGAAAGCCTGACTAATAAACCTTAAATTACATTGTCAAGGATCCCATTATCCCTCTGGTTACAGAAATTACTGAATGAAAGCATGTATTAACATCTAAAGCCAGTACAAAATGGCAATGAAATATGCTGGTTTACACCACAGGAGCATCTGACATGGGAAATTTACTTGGGGACTAAATGATTTTAAAATACTAAAGTGTATTTCTAATTTACTGGAATTTGCATATACTGCAAAAGATGTCCTGTGAAGATTTAATTTCTTTTTCTGACAATCAAAACCATGTTATATTCACACTGAAGTCAGATTAATGTCTGTATTTTTATAAATATATGTGTATATATTTATGAAAATATATGCATTGTATATTAAGTATAATTTCTGTACATATCAGGTGTGTCATTCATATATATGTATGTATTTACAACATTTTGAGTGAGTTTACCATCCTGAGGCATTCAAGGTCAGGTTGGAGTGGGGTCTGAGCAACCTGATCTCGTTGAAGATGTCCCTGCTCATTGCAGGGGGACTGCAATGGACTAGATGACCTTTAAAGGTCCCTTCCAACTCAAACTATTCTATGATTCTATGATTCTGTGATTTGCTTTTTAGACAGAACCTCTAACTGGCATTAGTTGGAACTTTGCTTAAAGCTGTGAATACTGAGTTTAACTAAGCATATAACCTTGGTTTAGTTTTAACAAGTCATTCTTTTTGCAGACAGGGTGCTTACATGTGCTCTTCACTTTAACCATATGCCTAAATCTCCCATAAGCATGAGCTTTAAGTTGTCTCCTGAGTCATAGCCTATGTATTACGCTCCCTGCTTACTGTAATATCTGAGAGATTTATAAAGGTAAAATGTAGAGTTCCAGTTCTTCTATTTCTGTTAGTGACTAGTGGAACTACGCTAGCTTTCATCATTTGGAGAAGTGGCCATAATTATCTTTTTAGAATAATCAGAGAATTAGTAAGATGTACATCCCTACAGGAGACAACTTACAAACCATGCATGAAATCCAAGTGAGCTCTTGATGAGAGTGAACCAGCTCTGCTTTCCTACGTGGAAATTACAATCTGCTCTTTACTGTATGTGATGTTTCTTTTTTTTTTTTTCTGCTAGATTAGTTAAACAGGGATTGGAAACACCAGACTGAAGTTTGCTGTCAGTCTGTGCAATAGAATTGCACTGAGGAAACAAAATTTGTCTCATCTACCTCTATTATTATTATTCACACAGACTAATCTTTTTAGCTGTAAAGACTACATAAATAATAGGTGATAAAATCTTTAATTTACGTGTGTGTGTGCACATATACAACACACAGACATAGAAGACTCAGAAACGGATATGTACACACACATGTTGCAATTTTTAGTGCTGCAGAAGTGATTGTTGAATTTTTAATACTACCTTTTCCAGGCAAAAAGGGTCTGGCGGCAGAAACCCATAGGTACTTTCCATGAAGATATCTACATTGCTATAGAATTTTGCTGTTGTGTTCTGTCCCTCCTTCTCCCAGCTTTACATGCCATACTTTCCCTGATGATTCTTGAAGCTGCTAAGGGTTTTCTTATTGTAAGACTTTTTTTTTTTTACTTGTGTACTTCTTTTGTGTACTTCATTTTTGTGAATCTTCTTTCAAGAACTGTGTTGTGGTTTTTTTCTTTCTGGCTTTTCTTCTGTCTTTATTAAGATAGGTATGCTGTTTGTTTCTTTAAAAGTACAGGTTGAAAAATGTGTTGAGTTTGGTTCTCTTGCCCAATCAGTCTTGGTGTTCTACGCCACCAAATAATGCCAACTATTGTTTTACGCATGTTTTAAAATCTGGTAACAGTTCTTCTGTCACACACAAAGCCTCACTTGACTGCAGAGGGGACAGAAGATCCAACCTTGATTTAAGCAATATTTTTGCAGGGATTTTTGAACAGAAGTTCACAAGCCTTATTTTTGCCCAGTAAGACCAGTGGTACCAGGAGGTCTAGGCTCAGCTGGGCATATAAAAGTTTGGCTTGTGTGTGATTAGTGATAACATATGTCACAGTTTAGAAAGTCCACATTTAGAAGGTACATGTTGCAGCAAAGATTTCCAAACATGTGATGAAAACATGAAGAGAGCAGGGTGGCATGGAGCAATGCCATCACTGGAGGTTTTCTTTGTGTTCATTGTGTTTGTCTCAGTCAGAGGAAGGAAGAAAATCAACTGGTATCATGGCACAAGAGTTCAGCCTGTTCCTCCTTTTGGACCCTATTGCTCTATTCTTACTCACATGGCATAATACTTGTCTCTAGAATAGCCCCACTGGGGAGTCAAAGAACTATCTGGACATTAAAATGTTATCCTACTTGGATGAAGGTATCAGTCTAGCCCATGGGGTTTTATAGCTTCCTTCTCAGATCTAGTATGCTTTCCTGTTTGTCTTCATTCATACCAGGCTCAGTAGGTGACCTTTTCTGCAGCCAATTTTCACATCTGTTTCTAAGCAATTCAGTCCTTGACAGACGAGATTATATATATTCAGTGAAGAAACCGTCTGCCATAATAGGGGATAGAACTGATCAAATGAAATGTTGATAATTACAACAAAACCCAAAGTAGGCACCTGACCATCTGATCTGGAATTTGGGCAAAAGGGGTATTTTCAGGAATGAAAGAAATGCTGTAAAGATACAGGAACCACTCCCTCTCAGTGACCATCTGGGGAATGAGAACTATGCTCTCAATTACTGTACAGTCCTACAAGTCCTCTTCAATTTTCTCTTGTTGCTGGATACACAGATAATGAAGACTGCTAATGAAGAGTCCTCAAGGAGTGTTTTTCCATCTGTGTCTAAGCAGATGTTTAAAAACAACTGGGCAACTGAAGAGTTTCTGAAACCCTAGTGCTTTTGCAAAAGCAGTATCTTTGTTCTTTAAACAAATAAAACATATTTTCCAGGTAACTTTGTAAATCTTGCTATGGCACTGCATGAATTGAAAAGGCCACAGTAGCGCAAGCCTCTGATAGTATCTCATCGTCCAGTAATTTTCCTCATTGTTATAGATCCCTTAAATCCTTTGGTCAGGTTTAAGAGTTTACTATTTAACTCCTGTGACCTGAAATATCATCTTTCTCTATTTAGTGATGACCGTCCTTGATGACTCTGCTTCCTGAACTCTTAAGATATCATTTCTAAGCAGAAGTTTGTGATAGAGATAGTTGTCTATGGAGGCCCAGAGAGCTCATAATCTCCAGAATGATACATATGAGTTTACTTTGCTGGTTTTCCTTGTCCACCACCATGGTAAAAATTTCAATCCACAGGGGAAAGAAACAGAAAAAGAGTATTTGGAAGGTGATTAAGAGGAAGGAATCTGTGACTCAAAGAAAAAGAAAAGAGCTTAAGGTAACTGTATAAGTGGAAGGTGAATTAGATCACTGCCAGGTGGTGCTGTTTTGTTTTCTCTATTGGGGTTGTTACTCTGTACTGTTAGTGATCACTCTGCAATGGGCAAGTTAGGAAAAAGTTCTGATCTTTGTGTTTCTGCAACACTTCTGTGGCCAACAGCCCAGCTGAAGTGCCTCTACACCAAGGCACCCAGCATGGGCAACAAACAGGAGCAGCTGGAAGCCACTGTGCTGCTAGAAAGTTATGACCTGGTTGCCATTACTAAAACTTGGTGGGACAAATCCCACAACTGGACTATAACTATTGATGGCTACAGCCTGTTCAGAAAGGACAGGAGAGGAAGGAAGCATGGAGGTGTTGCCCTCTATGTCAATAAATGGACAGAGTATGAAGAACTGTCTCTGAGGAACAGCCACGAGCAGGTCAAAAGCTTATGGGTAAGGATCAGGGACCGAGGCAACAAAGGGAACCTTGTGGTTGGTGTCTACTACAGGCCGCCCAGACAAGGGGAGTCTGTTGACAAAGCCTTCTCACTCCAGCTACAGGAGGCGTCATGTTTGCAGGCTCTCATCCTCCTGGGGGACTTCAACCACCCCAGCATCTGCTGGAAAAGTAGCACAGGGAGCTGTAGGCAATCCAGGAGGCTCCTGGAGTTCATGGAGGACAATTTCCTATGCCAGGTAATAGAAAGCCCTACCGGAGGGGATGCCATACTGGACCTGTTGGTCACCAATACATGTGAGCTAATGGGTGATGTCAAGATTGCAGGTAGCCTGGGCTTGCAGTGATCATGCAGGGATGGAGTTCGCAGCCCTGAGGGATATGGGGCAGGTGAAGAGTAAGGTCAGGACCCTGATTTTTAGGAAAGTAAACTTCCAGCTCTTCGGGGAGTTAGTCAATAGGACCCCCTGGGAAACTGCCCTCAGGGACAAAGGAGCAGAACAGAGCTGGCAGATCTTAAGGATACTTTCCAAAGAGCACAAAGGCTCTCAATCCCCATGTGTAAGAAATCAGGAAAGGAAGGCAAGAGGCCGGCATGGCTGAATGGAGACCTGATGAGCAAACAAAAGAGCAAGAAGGAAATTCACAGGCAGTGGAAGCAGGGAAAGGTATACTGGGAAAAGCATAGGGACACTGCCTGGTTGTGTAAGGATGAGGTCAGGAGGGCCAAGGCGCGGCTGGAGCTGAACTTGGCAAGGGATGCAAAGAATAATAATAAGGGCTTCTATAGCTACGTTAGCCTGAAAAGGAAGGTCAAAGAAGGCGTAAACCCCTCCTTGATGAGCAAGACTGGCAAACTGGTAACAACGGATGAGGAGAAGGATGAGGTACTGAAAGACTTCTTTGCCTCAGTCTTCACTGCCAGTGTCTATGCCCACGCCTCTCAAGGGGATGGACTGCAAGAGGGAACTGGAGGAGCAAAGTACCTCTCACTGTAAGAGCAGATCAGGTTCATGACCACCTGAGGAACCTGAACATGTACAAGTCTATGGGACCTGATGAGATGCATCCCAGAGTCCTAAGGGAATTGGATGATGTAGTTGCCAAGCCACCCTCCATGATATTTGAAAAGTCACAGCAGTCAGGTGAGAGAGAGACTGGAAGAAGGGAAACATTGCATCCATTTTTAAAAAAGGTAGCAAAGGAGGACCCTGGGAAACACTGACCCATCAGCCTCACTTCTGTGCCTGGGAAGATCATGAAACAGATACACTTAAAAGCTATGCTAAGGCACATGGAGGACAGGGAGGTGATTCAAGACAGCCAAGACTTCACCAAGGGCAAGTCCTGCCTGACCAACCTAGTGGCCTTCTATGATGGAGTGACCACATCAGTGGACAAGGAAGAGCTACTGATGATCCAGGCTTCTGTGTCCCTTATAACATCCTTCTCTCTAAATTGGAGAGAGATGGATTTGATGGGTGAACTGTTCAGTGGATAAGGAATTGGTTGGATGGTCACATCCAGAGATTAGAGCTCAACAACTCAGTGTCCAGTTGGAGATCAGTGATGAGTGGTGTCCCTCAGGGGTCTGTACTGGGACAAGTACTCTTTAATATCTTCGTCAGTGACATAGACGGTGGAATCGAGTGCACCCTCAGCAAGTTTGCAGACAACATCAAGATGCATGGTGCGGTTGACATGCCTGAGGGATGGGATGCCATCCAGAGGGACCTGGACAAACTTGAGGAATGGGCCCATGTGAACCTCATGAGATTCAACAAGGCAGGGTCTTGTACCTGGGACAGAGCACCCCCCTGTCAATACAGGCTGGGTGATGAAGGGATTGAGAGCAGTCCTGCCGAGAGGACTTGGGGGTACTGTGGGATGAAAACCTGGACATGAGCTGGCAATGTGTGCTCACAGCCCAGAAGGCCAACCCTATCCTGGGCTGCATCCAAAAAAGTGTGGCCAGCAGGTCAAGGGAAGTGATTCTGCCCCTCTGCTCTGCTGAGAGACCCCCTGGAGTACTGCATCCAGCTCTGGAGCCCTCAGCACGGGAAAGACATGGACCTGTTGGAGCGGCTCCAGAGGAGGCCACCAAAATGATCAGAGGGGATGGAACACCTCTCCTATGAAGAAAGGCTGAGAGAATTGGCGTTGTTCAGCCTAAAGAAGAGAAGGCTCCAGGGAGAGCTTATTGCAGCCTTCCAGTACTTAAAGGGGGCTTCTAAGAAAGATGGGGACAAACTTTTTAACAGGGCCTGTAGTGAAAGGACAAGGGGTAATGCTTTTAAACTAAAAGAGGGTAGGTTTAGACTAGATCTAAGGAAGAAATTTTTCACAAAGAAATTGGTGAAACACTGGCACAGGTTGCCCAGAGAGGTGGTAGATGTCCCGTCCCTGGAAACATTCAAGGCCAGGCTGGTCAGGGCTGTGAGTAACCTTATGTAGTTGAAGATGTCCCTGCTCATTGCAATGGGGGGGTTGGACTAGATGTCCTTTAAAGGTCCCTTCTGACCCATAGATTCTATGATTCTGTGATAGCAAGAGCTGAGCAGATAGTTCAACATGAATCAGGTTTCTGTCTGCCTGTTTGATAGGTAAGCCAAAAAACAAAGAGAAAAACAGGGACAAAAAATAGAACTGTTTTCTCAACAGAATGAAAACCATGAAAGGAAAGGAAATAATATCTTATGCTATTTGAAATGTTTCAATTCAAAGTGTTTCATGTTTAGACTTTTTTCTTTAGACCATAATTTCAATGAAAAATGTTAGCATGAAACAAAACCTCATCATTCATCTACATTTCATTTAAAATTAATGTAACATTTCTTTTAAAAGTAGAATTTACATGTTTTAGTAGCTCTAACATTTTATTACTATTTTCTCACAAAATGTATTTGCGAATTTAATCTGATATCTCCAGGAGTTTCTCGAAATCATTATTTTTTAGTATGTTTACTAGTTCACCATTAAAACAAAATGTGCCCAGTTTTCATCTTTGACTTTTAATATAGCTCTGACTCTTGTTCTGGTTCTTTTGCAATAGTACTTTTTCATGAGGCAACCTTCCTCTGTACACAGGAATTCAACAAACTATTGCTGGGTCATTAAAATGAACTATTAAATTTCCTTAAATCTTCGTTGTGAATCTGGGCCCCTAGGCCCATTGAAATAATTGCAATAGTCTAGTCTTTCACATTTATGTAGTCTCTTTCATCTGAGGATCTCAAGATATTTTACCTAAAATAATGAATGTACATTGGAATTCTTGCCAAAGGCAAAAATGAAAGAGAAAAATGTACCCTCTCCCCCTTTCCTGTTATGGCTATGAAAATTTGCTATTTTTTAATTGTTATTTTATTGATTTTTTTTTCATTGTGTTGTGGTAGTTTTTTTTTTGAAACCAGAATACCACAGCCATGTGCAATTCAGATTCATCTTGTGGGAACTTGACCTTAAATAGCAGGGCCAACTTTCCTCATCTCATGGGTCAAAGCCAGCCCATGGATGCCAGGATACCAACTGATTTCTGGAACAGAAAAATAAAGTGAAGCCCTAGTAACCCTGTTTAGGTCAGTCTTAAAAGAATAATAACAAGGGAAACATTTATTTTTTAAATTTGTTTTTCATTTGTGGCAACAGTTAAGCAAACACAAGAGAGTAAGGTGCCACTTCTGCTGTGCAGAGGTGGAGCTGTTTCAGCCAGTAAAGCCCGTTTCCTTGACTGCATGTACATGTAGGCTCTTCAGTCCAAGACATCTAAACCTATTGCCAGGTAAAAGACCTTGTTTAATACCTGCATTAGAACCTAAACTACCTGAGACTGACCACTACTGCATGAATAATGTGTGGAGTTTTAATCAGACAGGGCATGCACATCTTCAGGAATTGTTGTTCCAGATCAAGGTTCTGCATCCATGTTCCTTTATTATGTCCCTGTTATAGATTTTTGAATTCTCATATTTTAGTTTGATTATCCTCATATTACTGCGTTGCTCTAAGAAATAACCACACAAAGCCAATTCATGGAACAAACCCAACATATCAGTCAAAGCTTCTGTTTGAATGCTAGTATCAAACTTGAACTAATCTGTCTACATTTTTTTGCAGATTATGCTGACGTTTTCAGCAGTGTTTGGTGTGATTGTATACCGAATAACTACAGCAGCAGCTTTGTCATTCAGCACAAATGAGACAACAAGGTCAAATGTTCGAGCGACTGTGACTGCAACTGCTGTCATCATTAACCTCGTTGTGATACTTGTACTTGATGAAATTTATGGAGCTGTTGCCAAATGGCTGACAGAAATTGGTAAAACTATCTCACCACATTCCTCATTAGTACATTACATGTATTGACACGAGAGTATGCAAGGACGTTCTAATAGGAATATTTCCCACTGAAGTGTGCCAGTGAAAATATTCAGGCCTATGGGGTAAGATGCTCAGACATGCTTCTGTGAACTAAGGATCTAAGCCACAACATGCAGTGTGCCACTAATAGGACTAATTAGCCTGGCCATAATGCCATGTTAATGCAACTGTGCTATTTCCAGGATCTCAGATGTTATTTCTGCATTGCACTGGCTCTATGCCAAGATCCACTTATTTAGAACTGGTTGAGAATTTTTGAGCTGGTATGTATTTTGTTATATAGCTTTACCTCTAGGAGCTTGGTTTACTGAAAGTCATTGAGTTGTTTCAAAGACATTGCTGGCCCTGTCAAAGCTATGCTGGCAAATCCTTCCCATGTTGTTTTGTTGATGTGATTTTTACCAGGTCCTTACCACTCAAAGGACTTCTTTGCCATTATAGGGGCATGCCTAGGCTGGACTTTTTTATGACAATGTCTATTTCAGTTAGGAGTTTGATTTTTTTTTTTTAAATGTTGTATTGTAACAAGCCTGGCAATGTACTTAAGTCTTTTAAAGGCAAGTCAGTCTTTGACTGTTATAGGGGTTTAGGTTGGGATTTTATTTTGCTATATAAGTTAGGCCAAAGATGTTTACTGATAGGACCCTGACATGAGATTCTTACAGTTGTCATTAAGTATTGCTACAAACATTCAGTCAAGGACGTACCACAATAAAATTATCGGCTCTCACATTAGTTAACAGCTCAGGATGAGCATGACAATACAAAAATTTAATCCATATACAACCTTTAAAAGAGGATCCTACCATCAATTTGAAAAGCGTCTGTCTTATACCTATGTGCCCATTGCTAGAAGATTTCCATGGAAATTGAAACTAAATCTGGGAAGAGAGTCATGAATACTGAAATGTTTAAGACACATTTTTACAAGTTCTATAAAGAGGTCTAGAAATGTAGAATATATATATAGTGAATGGAGAAACATTAGCAAAAATGTGCATTTATTTTGCATGGCAATTCACAATTCATGTAATGCCTTATTTAGTCTTGTGTTTAACATTAAGCACATTAACAATCTCATCATAGAAAAAAAGACACACAAAGTTAGAAAGAAGGCTTTTAAGGTGTTTTTTTCTAGATGAAAGTTTTTGTACTTTGCTTTCATCATTCATGAATTGAGACTATTAATACTTTGTTATTTCAGTTGTGTAACAGATATACTTACGTATGCTAATATGAATATGTTTATATACACTAAAGACATTTGTACTGCTTTAGCTTTACGCAATTGAACATCAAGAACCAATTATTTTTTTCTTCAAACTCCAGATAGATAGTAGGAGAACAATGTAAATATATAATAATTATTTCTATATATTAATAATAATATATTATGTTGATAAATTATACTTAATAATATTATATATTTAATACTATAATAGATGTCAGAGTAAATGGCAGAGGAGGTCTGTGCTAAGATTTCACAGATGTGGCCTGAAATAGAGGAAGGTGATGTGGTCTGTCCAGGTCTCTCAACAAGGCAATGAAAGAGACTGGAAAAGAAGTGAACTATTGTCAGGTCCAGGGCATGTGTCAGGATCTGTCAGGTTTTTTGCCACCAGGGTATTGGATAGACAGCCATGAGCAACTTGGGATAAGCTGTCAGAGGATGATCAGAGAATCAAGTTCATTATGTTGTCATTATTAATGTTTCTGTCAAAGAATCTTCAATTTCCATCTGGAAATTTGGACTCCCTGGAAATCAGGAGTCAGTGGCAGAGCTAGTGTGCATTGTTACAAATTAAATCTACAAAAGAAAAAACAGTATGAGCTCGAAGTTTGTAGTTTGGTGATGTATTTGGGGATATCAGGGATGTTTACTTATTTACTAACAGATTTCTATGGTTTGCTTTTCTTTTCCCCAGAGGTACCAAAAACAGAGAAAACCTTTGAGGAGAGACTGATTTTGAAGGCATTCCTACTGAAGTTTGTGAATTCTTATGCACCAATTTTTTATGTGGCCTTTTTTAAAGGAAGGTAGGATAAGTGTCTTTTACATACAGATATATATATACACATATAAATATGTCTATATTAGTGGATCTGTGTTTAAAAATGGGCACAAAGGACTACCTAACTAAGTCTGGGACTTGCCACCTCCACCAGCTTTGAAAATATATCATAAATAAGGTTGTCTGAAGCTTGCTTTTGAATGGCAGGGCATGATGTTGCGTACTGTCCTGTCTCTCTTCTAAGCAGAACATTGTTCTGAAATGCAACCCTTTTAGTTTTCTTTCTAAAATAAGTATAATCCACACTTCAGAAAATAATTCCTTTTAGTTAAAAAAAGGGTGTTGCACTTGTGAGTGAATGTTATTCTTTACAGGTCTTCACTTTCCACATTTTAGCAAATTTTTCTTGAAGCATCATTTAGCAAAGAGAAATTTTCCTGTTTCATTTAAAATTATGGAACTACTTTCTCTATTACTTTCTCAACGTTTTGCACTATTCGCCCCTATCAAGTTAAATTAAGACATGGTTATAGTCAAGTGGAAGTTGCATGTTTTGGCAAATGAACTGATTGACCAAAAAGCTAATTCAGCTGTCCTGCTAAATAAGTGTGACTTCCTGTGGGTTCAGGATCATTGTCTTTTGGGACTCAGTTATCCACAGTATAACACATGCTTTTGAATGGGACGCTTAAAATGATTGTTTGCTAAAACTTTGGCAAAAATGTTTAAAACATCCTCTGGATTCTGTTTCATACCATTTTTTCTTCCTTTTGGGGGCTGTAAAGATTGTTAATCTATACTCTTCACTAATCCCATTCAACATCATTGATGTAAGAATTAGTGATACATTTTACCAGCAGTTGTAACTATTGTAAGACATTAATGAAAAATATCGCCAATTTCTTCCTTTTTTAACAATATTTTTGTGTTCTATGGTTATAATAAAGTCAATCTCACTGTTTCTCCCTATGTAGTCAGAGAGCCTTGACTGTGTATAGATGTGTAAATAACTCCATTCATGGCATTACTCAGATGCAAGAGAATGTGAGTTACGATATGTGTTCCCGGTTTTGTTTGTGACCACTAATCAAGAGAGGGAGATTATTATTATTTTTTTTAGCACAGAAAAATATTTTATTAAAGCTATTTTATCAAGATGTAGTAGAAAAATATTTCTAGAGGCCTACTACTTTGAAATAATTCTAAATAATCAAAGTTAAATAGGTGGCGAGTCTTTTAAAATTCATGTTGAAATAACTAGTTCTGAAATATTTTAGCTAATATGAATGAACAGTTTTGTTGTTAAAGTTAACTTTTTTCCTTTTTTTATATTATTTCATATATTGTTATTTCTTTTAGATTTGTTGGCCGTCCTGGTCATTATGTGTATCTGTTTGATGGTTATCGAATGGAAGAGGTAAGTACATATGAAATTCAAACAAAAACATCCTTACCAAAAAAAGATATGTGTACAGTGCACTTCAGTGGTGTCTAGACAATAAGGAAAAAATAGAAAACATGTTAAAACAAGATGTTAAATCTTTAATATAAATAGACAAAACACAAATTTTCCATCTGAGGCACCTGTATGTTCTTTCTTTGTGCAGTTTTGAGTACCTTGTGTTCTTTCTTAGGTGAACCTTCACCATTTCTATGTTTTAAAACTGAACTCTAAGGCACAAACATTACATGATTTGACTGAGGCCCTTGTGAAACCTATGGCAGAGCTGGAACTTGAGTCTGGCTTCACACTCTGTAGATCAGCAGAAGCCTAGAAGTTTTAATAGCCTAAAAAGCCATAGCCATTTTGTGCTAAACCTGTAAAAATATTGTTTTTTTCAAAATTCCTTTTAACTGCTGCTGATATTCCCCTGAAAATCGATAGACATACAATAAAGATTACGCTTAAGTCTTTGCAAGATTGAAGACTTTCTTCCCTCTTGGGAGACATCAGGTTGAAAGAGTATTGGTGATACTGCATTATGTTTATTACATTGATTATATAGTAAATATTTTAAAAGGAAATATAGTAGCCCCAGGGCACAGTAAGTTATTTCAGAGCTCTGCATATTTTCCATAATACAGTTTTATGAGTGGAGATGAAATACCTTGTTAAGGACAGAACTGCAGTGATTGACGAGCTCTGTGCTCCTGCACAAATTGGCAGCTGAGGTGACAGGCACATATAGACATCAGTAGCTCTTCCAAGTGGGTACTTCTAAATTAATTCTCTTACTCCCTTCATACTTTATGGTTTTGTTTAATTACAGTGTGCTCCAGGAGGCTGTTTGATGGAACTCTGTATTCAGCTGAGCATCATTATGCTTGGAAAACAACTGATTCAAAACAATCTGTTTGAAATTGGAATCCCGTATGTATCCCAGCCTTCTCCATTACCATGCATTATTCCTATGACACTGTAAATTAAAGCCTTGATCCCTATTCAACTGAATGGGACTTTTGCCACCGACTTCAGTGGGTTCTAATTGAATGTGATGATAAATCACATTTTTGGTTGTGATGAAATGATCTGGCTGTATTTTATGTTGAATAATTGGCTATATCTGCAGCAAATGGCTTAAAGAAAGTGATTTAATATATTTAATAATTGATCTAAATTAATTTTAGAAACCTGGGAAAACAGGCAAGGTATGATAGATCTCTTGGGAAGTTTTAGAGAAGCTTTCAGAGCAGTAACATTGAATACAAATTAGTATAAAGTGGAGGAGAGATGGTGTGGAGAAAAGCAATAGCTCATAAAAGATGTTAAAATGTATTACTTGATCTATTACTATTTCATGGGTTTACAGATGAAATCCACATATTTCTAAGGTGCCTGTATGTCAGTATGTCACTGTATGATGAAGAAGCTACAGCATGGGAGAGATGCTGACATGCTGCTCAGTGGCTCTCTGCCACAGAAAGCTTAGTGCACAGTGTCCTCTACTCCAAATACAGCAAGAAATCTCGCTTGGTCTGTCTCCAGTGTCAAGGGGATTTTCAGGCAAGAGAATCAACTGAGAATGTCCCGCTCCTGTCTCTTGGGAGGTTTGCTCTTGTTTCTGTTAACTGAATCGTCCTTGTTGGTGGTAATGGTCTGTGAAATGTACTAGATGAATAGTCTGGCTTAGACGCAAACCTCAACTCACTGAAGTTAGCAGAATCTTTCAACTCTAGTGTCAGTATCTTTTGGATCACATCCCTAAGGAAGGTCTTGAAGATGCTAACTAGGAACCAAGATGAGTGATGCTTAAAAGATTATGAAATATTTTTAAAATGAACACTTTTTGTCCCTTTTCCTAGTAAGAATTTTTTTTAAAGTAATGTATATACAGAGAAAAAAAAAATCCCAAACAAATAAAATGTGGGTTATGGATCTTTTCATTATTCTTCTGTCAAAGTTCACTAGAGAGGCCTGTTTTCTGTCTACATCTCATTGAGTTTACAATTTATTTTGAGAAAAGGGTGGTAAATCATTCCCAAAATATCTGACATGTTGAAGACTTAAGGCTCTTTTAGTGTAAACCTGGTGTGACTTAAAAAAATCCTGTCTTCCAAAAACTTGCTGCTACTGGACTTTCTTAATGGGGATTTTATGATGTTAGAAATACTGTATTTATTATTTTTGATTCATGAAAACAGAAGCTGATCCAGTCCAAACAGAAAATTCCTGTCAAGTTATTTCTCAATTTCTTCACTACAACTCTTGGTGCAAAAATGTGACAATTTCATCCCATTTTTCTCCCTCATTTCTGCCGACAACCTATAGTGGCTTCAATTTTTAAAACTGAATAACTGTTCAAAACCAAAACTACTTTCATCCTCTCCTTCCCAGAGATATACCTCATTTCAGTCACAATGCTATCTTGTCATCCTGAAATAAGCACATCTGGTTTTCCTTTGCGCATCTGCATTCTCAGGAAAATCACGTGTATATATGTAGGGCTTGGCCCTTCTCACCAGACCTGTTTGTACCAGGGGAAGCACAGTGCTTTACTGAACACTGAAGTTATGAGAATTAGCCTTGTATTTCTGCATGGACCACTCTACTGGTTTGGACTAGATCCTTAATGGTACTCTATTCTATCTCATGTGCCCCACATACGCAGGCACACAGACACACTTTGAGTACCGATCAATCGCATTTTCAGAGGGCTGTGCATAGGTCTGCTGGACAGATATAAATCCAGACCTAAAGGGGCTCCAAACATGCATGTGTTGCACAAGTAGTAGCTTTGGCATGTCCGTGTCTCACACATAATCTATGTCTATAGATGCTGTTGTTAGGAGATGTGACAGATGTATAGGTAAACATACCGTCACTCTCTGCCCTCCAGCCTTCTTGTCCGACTGTATCCTATTCCCTCTCTTTGCTACCTGTTTTCCTTGATAATGTCTTACAGTCAGCTCATCTCCTCTGTTAGGTCATCCTTTTTCTACCAGTAAGCTTTTTATTTTCCTTCCCAGGATGTCTCTTTCTTCATTGGGCCCTTGTTCTGTTTTCCAGTGTCTACTTTTGCACAGGCTATGCACTGTCAATGAACAGTCCTCCTGTGGCAGAAAGATAGATCAATCTCTTCTATCTCCAGTTTCAGCAGCCGCATTTTTTTCCCCCTTTCCTTGTGCCTCTTCAGAGGGAATGAGATTCTGGGTGAATAACACAGATTCTTACACTGGCTCCCTATATTTTCACTGAGGGCAGAGTACAAGTGCTGCAATCAACCTTACCCATATGGAGAGGCAGAAGGGACTCTCATAAATGGTGATTTGTTCTTGGCAGCCCTGCATTGTTTGGGGTCACTGGGACACGTCCTTGCTTTTTCCTTCAATGTTTCTGGAGAAAATGCTGCACAGCTATGACAGATGTGACTTTCTGGTCTTCTAAACCTTTCTGTGATTTCTTTTTCGATTTTGGCACCCAAGAGTATCAAAACCGCTAGGTAAATGGAACAACATTTGTATTATGGAAAACTAGGCCTTCTTGAATTGAAATGTGTGTTCTGTGGGGCTGGAATTCACAAGTTTAACAGATGTAAATATGCCATAGGTCACTCAGATGTGTCACATACCATAATTCTTTAACTGTTGCCACAGGAATTGACCATAAAAGGCTGCAGGGCTTGAGAGTCTTAACCTAGAGTTCCTTTAAGACTCCTTTTCTTCAGTTCTGTTTTTTCTGAACTTACTGAAAAAACTCCATGTAGTTATTTTATTACTCTCTGTCTTTGATCCTGGTGATAAACCCTTTGGGTGAAATCCTGGCCCTATTGAAGTCAGTGACAAAACTCCCATTGACTTAAGTGGGGCCATGATTTTGGGCTTTTTATTCAATATCAGTTTCCATCACTTACTTCAAAATGCACTTAACTATCCTGGATGAGAATACCAGGAGTTAACAAAATCAACTTTTCATACCGGATATCTTTTATGTTGCTTTTCACCTTTAATAAGCTATTCTTAATTAATGGGGTATTTTTTTGCTTTTTTTCTTTCCTGTTTTTGACTGTTGAGAAATCAATAAATCCCAAACACAGCTGAAACCCTCATAGAATCCAGGAGGTCTGAGTGTTGCAAGGAAGCATGACTATACCATACACTTGTGTAACAGAATGAGAGATTGAAGTCCTTTCATTCTCCCTCTGCCTCCTTCTTGTACCCCCTACCTGTGAATATGAGAAGGTCTCTCCTTATGTGAACAGACTGTAGGAATGAATGAAGAAAATCCTGGACCTTCAGTGCTCCTTCCCCAAAGCAGCAAACAAAATTACAGGCAAGGACACATGAATCTGAGTCACTGCACTTCCTCTTCTTTAGACACAAGGGCTCCAGCTACTCAACCTAATAGTCTTTTCTGTTTAGCTTTCTGCCTGTACCCTTTTCTATCATGCTTGCAAAGCAAAAAGCATCAACTGGAAGGACAGCCATAAAGATCACCTGATATATGTAATCATTCATCCCTGGCAGCTGGATTCTAAGGGTTTTCTGTCTTTTTATGTAAAGTCTCCATTTACATTTTGTCCTAGCAAGTATTGCCTTGCAATACTTCAAATCCAGTTCTTGATGACTGTCAGAGGTGATTTACTTTTACAGTACCCAATGGCATTTATTAACTGAGAGTCTTGAGAAAATGGTAAACTGATCCTTGGTTCCAATCTTTCTGGCAAATTCTGGTGGAGATGTATAGTGAGGACTGCTCAGCCACTGAAGACATAAAGACTTGCGCCAACAAAATAATTTTCCTGCATCTGCCCTGCCCTGCTTCTACATCCTCTCTGCAGAAATGTCTCATTTTTCCCAAGTCAGGTTTACGTCTTCCTCTAGATCCCCCAATTCTGGCTACTATATTTTACTGTGTAAACAGAGCAACTGTTGAGTCATCTGTCTGTTTTTTTAAAAGAAGGCTTTGTGGAAGTGCACCGTTTGCTTGCAGCCCACCCAGGATTACTTTGGTTTTAATTTCTCTCTTCTTTTCCTCATCTATTTTCTTGAAAGCTTGTGAGTTCTTCAGGGATGGGACATTTTCCTGTAGTGATTTTATGCTCTCTTCAGATGTGGATTACCTTGCATAATGGGATTCTTATTAGTCATATTCAGAGTACAGAATATATAAAGAATTACGAACAGTGTAATTAAACCATATTCCCACTTCTTATCTAAAACAGTTTGGTGCCAATCCCTTGTGAGAAACAGCATCATTTTTAACTGCTCCTGACATATCCTTCTGATAAAAACCTGTTGTCATTTTCTTTATCCCTGATCCTACATTCATTCTTCTACCATGCTTTTCAGTCCTAAGAATTCTTCTTGCTTTTTGATATTCACTGGCAAAAGGACAAGAAATAATGGTTATTCCACAGTTCTACAGTTTTCTCTGTTTGTCCAGATTCATATGGCTAATAGCGGTGTCATAAAACTTTGCTGTGTGTGCCTCTTCAACACAAAGCTTCACAGAGACTCATCCTGAATGGGCGAATCTACATCTTTCTCACTGGTGGGACTGCCTGGCATGCAGAAATCAGAAGCTGAAATAGCTCTTGATTATCATCATCTGTCAACTTTGTTTAAAAATGTTGATCTAAGTAATTAAAAAACAGGTTTCACACAAATGCATTTAAAAAGCTTGTTCAGTTTTAATAACATAATTGTATGTGCAGCTACAGAGTTCTGCAAAACCCATTTTCCTTGCCCTACTGCTGTATAGCTGGAGAATAACACTGTGCAAATTCCTGTTCTCTGTTCCTTTAACTTTCTGACACATTTCTGTTTGGTCTAAAACTTCACATGCTTGGATATGACACAAATGTACATTTTTTGTGGAAAATTTGAAAAGAATTATTTTGGCTGTCCTTCAGTTAGTTGATCCTTTAAAAAACTACATAAATATAAGAACACTTTTCAAAGTTTAACTCAAAGTGGTTAAAGGTGCCACTCCTCATGCCTGGCTTATAGATAGCCAGATGAAAAATTAAAAATTATTCTGAGTAACTGAGCCCTGGATTTAGTGTATTCCCAAACAAACATTAAAAACAACAACTATTGTTTTAGTTACTGGGTTCTCAGGGGAGTTATGTATATGCATTAAACTCCATAACTCGACTCCATGGTGCTATAACCAGAGGATTAGATCACACATGTACAGACTTCACATCTAAACACACCCAAATTTTATCTCAGCTGCTGCACAGTGACAGCAAGATGCTCTTCAATCTCATCTGCCCACAGAAATGTGAGGGACGTTTATAGCTCATATCATTTTATTGGAACAGAAATCAACTGTCTTGAACTTATTCTTCACTGTCCTCTGAGAGTCTCTCACATTTGGAAATTAATTGGGATATGCTGGAAGAGCATCCTGGGAATTCTTTGATTGTTTTAACTCCTGCCCCCAGCCTTCTACTCTCTGAATACTACATCATGTCTGTCACAGTCGAGTTCCCTCGATTGCCATAAAAGCAGAGGGGGGGGAAGGAAATTTTAGTGTCTTGAAATGGCTGAGTTTACATGATGTAGGAGGTAAATGTCTTTGTAAGGATCCATGTAATTCTTTCTTGTGAAATGTTTTAAATCTCCCCACCTTTTTATTAAAACTATGTAAACTGAATGTTCTGGGTACTGAAAGTGCTTGGTTAGCACAAATGTATCTGGGTATTGCCAAAGTACTGAGCATGTTACCATCAGAATTATGAGCTATGTCTCAGCTGCACCTGGAACAAATGCTGGAGTTGACCTATTGATTTTTGCAGTGTTGTGATCCTGGAACTGACAGGGCCTGATGCAATCTAGATCTCTTTTAAGACTGCCTGTCAATCCCCATTTCCTCTGTACTGGTGATGAAATTGAGTGGGTCCTGTAAACACTTGTTGGTGTAGAAATTCTGCAGCCACTGTGGTCATCTCCAGGCTGCTATAGAGCCTTGTGCTATGTGGAGACACAGTGTTCCTGTGTGGCTCAGTGTATATTCAGGAACTAAGCAATAAACCTACCCAGCAAAGTCTTTAGTTTGTTTGCCAGCTAGCCTTGCCCTGCTACTTAAGTTAGGGTCTGAGAAAATGGTTCTTCTTAACTGGAGGTAAAAAGGAAAACCCCCACCATTTCTCCATACACTCCTGTCTCCAGGCCACACACCTCTAGTTCAAAGGATTTATCACCAGCTGTGGGGGAAAAGTTTGTGGGAGAGCCCTGCTTACACTACTGGCAAAACATCACTGGAATTAGTCTGGATTTTCACTCATATGGCACATATGTGAAGAACTATAAAATAACGTTGTGCATATTTGTGAAAGATAAGTTTCATATGCAAAATGAAGACATACAATAAGTATAAAACTTAATGTTTAATGCTAATTCAACTGTTTATCGCTTCCTGGATTTTGAAGAAATATTTTCTTACATTTTTCCATGGGAATTTATCAAGGTGTAAAATAGCATGATGTTATCGATGTGTATGCATTTAAAATGTCATCCGGGAGGGGCACTGGGAATACTTTGATCTTTTAGAGATGGATTCATTTTACACTGGGATTATACAGTTTATGAAATGCCTGTTTTTGTCAGTGTCGTGAAATTTGGATCCCTATCTCAGTGGGACAGTGGTTGATACTACTATTCCTACTAAGGCTCGAAGAAATACTTGCACAAATAATTGCTCACCCATGTGAGGAATTTACAGTCTGGCCAAAATTGTCTATACTGTTGTAAAACAGGGTCAAAATGAAGACCTCTGACACAACCTCTTCTGATCTATGGGAGCTGGGAGACATAATTGATTTGTGTTTCCTTAAGAAGTGGTAGGAAGCCATTTTGTTTTTCTGCTTCAGGGGCAGCAAAAACTCATCAGCGTAGTTAAACTTGCGATACATATACTTTTCAGAACTTCTGAGGATGGTGTAAACTAAGCCTGTGGGGCACCGAAGTAACATGATATACATTTTGTGTTGCCATGTGAAGACATGGGCCAGATCTTGTATGGAAAAAAAAGAGTTGGTTCAATCTGAACTTTTGTTCTTCAGGAAGTTAAAGAAGCTCTTCAGGAAGCTCAAGGATGAAAGAACTGAACCAAAGGAAATAGACACCAACCAATCAAAGGACCCTCAGCAATGGGATCTTGACTATATCTTGGAACCTTTCACTGGACTGGCTCCAGAATACATGGAAATGAGTAAGTTTTCTGAATTCCCTTTCTGCAACAACTGTAGTTTTTCATAGGACCAATTACCATATATATCATGTGACTCTATGGCATGATAAAAGGAAAAACTTTTTTGTAAAGTTTTTTCTTAAGTTTAAGTTACATTTCTTTTATTTCAGTTTGTGCCCATTGCCTCTTGTCTTTTCACTGGGTATCCCTGAGAAGAATCTGACTCTGTCTTCTTTAATCTCCCCAACAGATATTTGAATACATTGGTAAGATCCCCCTGAGCCTTCTCGTGGTACAACAATCTTGGCTCTCTCACCTTCTCCTTGTATGTCAGGTCCTCCAATCCCTTAACCATCTTAATGGCTCTTCACTGGGTTCACTGCAGTATGTCCATGTCTTTTTTGTACTGGGGGTCATAGAACTGGAAACAGCACTCCAGGTGTGGTCACAGTAGTGCTGAGTAAGGGGGAAGGATCCCCTCTCTTGACCTGCTGGCAATGCTCTTCCTAATGCATCCCAGGAGTCTGTTGGCTTTCTTTGTACCTATGGCACATTTCTGGTTCATGTTCAACTTCTTGTCTCCCAGGACCCTCAGGCTTTTTTTTGTAAAGCTACTTTCCAGCCAGTCAGTTCTCAGCACGTACAGGTGCTTGGGGTTATTCCTCCCCAGGTGCAAGACTTTCCATTTTCCGTTACTGAGCTTTGTGAGATTCCCCTTGGATCATTTCTCCAGCCTCTTAAGGTCCTTCTCAAAGGCAGCACAATCATCTGGGGTAACTCCTCCCAAAAATTGCTCACTAATATTTCAAATGTAGTAGAAGTATGTAGATTCAAAAATATAAATGTGTATTTTCTCATAGAATTAAATTACCCTTTACAACAGAAAACTGTAGGAATATCTTTTTAAATTACTCAGTTCATGACTGACAGTTACATGAGGTTGAAACATGTACACGGCATTCCCAGCTATGCTTAAACTAAAATTCACACTCATATACAACAGGAGAGGACCTTCAGCCTATAAGAGCTTCTTGATCAATAGAATAGAATAAAATAGAGTGGAATGGAATAGCATAGCATAGCATAGCATAGCATAGCATAGCATAGCATAGCATAGCATATTTCAGTTGGAAGGGACTGGCAACGGTCATCTAGTCCAACTGCCCAACCACTTCAGGGTTGACCAAAAGTTGAAGTGTATTATCAAGGCAATTGTCAAACACTGACAGGCATTGGGCATTGACCACCACCCTAGGAAGCCTGTTCCAGTGTTTGACCACCCTCTCTGTAACAAAATGCTTTCTAATGTCAAGTCTGAACCTCCCCTGGCACAGCTTTGAACCATTCCCATGTGTCCTATCACTGGAAACCAAGGAGAAGAGATCAGCATCTCCCTCTCCACTTCCCCTCCTCAGGAAGCTGTAGGGAGCAATGAGGTCTCCCCTCAGCCTCCTTCTCTTTAAACTAGACAAACCCGAAGTCCTTAGCCACTTTTCATAGGACATTCCTTCCAGCCTTTTCACTAGCTTTGTTGCCTTCCTCTGGATGCATTGAAGAACCTTACATCCTTCTTAAATTGTGGGGCCCAGAATTGCACACAGTACTCAAGGTGAGGCCATACCAATGCTGTATACAGTGGGATAATCACCTCTTTTGACCAGCTGATTATGGTGTGTTTGATGTACCTCAGGATGTGGTTTGCCCTCTTGGTTGCCAGAGCACACTGCTGACTCATAGTGAGCCCTGAGGAACACCATTGGTGACTGGTTGCTGGACAGATGTAACCCCATTCACTACAACCCTTTGAGCTCTGCCATTCAGCCAGTTCTTCACCTAGTACGCCGTGTACCTGTTCATCTCACAGTTGGACAGCTTGTCAAGAAGGATGCAGTGAGGAACAGTATCAAAAACCTTACTAAAATCCAGAAAAAACACATCCACCACTTTCCCTTCATCCAGTAGGCAGGTGACCTTACCATAGAAGGATGTCAAATTAGTTAAACAGGACTTTCATTTGTGAATCCATGTGGACTATACCTGATGATCACATTGTCCTTTAAATGCCTTTCAACAGCAGCTGGTATGATCTTCTCCATAATTTTTCCAGGTAGTGAGGTTAGACTAACAGGTCTGTAGTTTTCTATGTCTTTCCTCATGCCCTTCTTGTAAATTGGAATAACATTGTCTAGCTTCCAATCAGCAGGGACTTCCCCAGACTCCCAAGACCTTTGGTAGGTAATTGAAAGGGGTCTTGTTGTAACATCCGCTAGCTCCTTCGGTACTCTGGGATGAATCCCATCAGGTCCCATGACTTGTGAACATTCGGCTGATATAGCGGTTCCCTTACAAATTCAGTGTCCAGAAATGGAAAGTCACTGTTCCCACAGTCGTGGTTCTCCAAATCAGATGAAAGAGACAGTGGAATGGAGGACTGTTATTTATTTTACTAATCTTAATTTTACTCATGGCAAGCTGCAGCATGCAGATACTGAGTTGCCCACACTTTCTAAGGAAATTTAGGGCACACTTGGGAATTATTTCTCAGCCTCCAACCTTTCATACCAGATCTTTAACCGGCACATTCTCTATTTTTTTTAAATAGCATTTGCATACTTCCTCTACATGCATCACCCTGCTGGAGTGACTGACATCACTAGTGGTATGCACTGCTAGACATTGTGTCATCTTTCAAATCCTTGTAAAGTAGGAGCAACTCTATTAAAGTCAATAGTGTTCTAATTTTATAAAGTTTGTGTCCGCCATGTATATATCATCTATGTGTATGTGTGTGTTTGCTGTTTTTCACAATCACTGCTTAAATTGTTGCTAAACTATGGCAGAGATCAGTACTTTTTCAAGGTTGCTCCACAGTCTGCTTTTCCACATTAAAGGAGATAAGTATGTTGGTGGAAACCCAGATGGAACTGGGATCAACTTTTTCTTGAAGTGGCAAGATGCCACCAGTTATGTATTTGTGTCGTGGTTTAACCACACTGTCACATCAGGGAGATGGCAGTTCCTGATTTCCACTAGGTGGGATCCAGGAACTGGATCTGCTGCTTCACAGAAATGCCTCTCTCAAGATGCAATGTCCATCAGAGAGTATGCATTTTTTCTTATCTTCAAGAGTGGATGGTTGACATCTTAGTGACTTGATCCATCATTTGCGTATCATTAAAAGGCCCTCTGATTTAAGATCTGAGGTCAGTGTGGCCACTGTAAGTCATTTGAGATGTAGCATTAGAGTGTTTTCTGCTATCTGGAAGTCAAGAGTCAAGAAAGAAACTTTAAAGCACTGAGTTCATTCAAATAAAATATCATTAATAATTTATTTTCATTTTAACATGTTTGGCACTGTTCCACTGTCCTCAGTAGTTATAATTTGGAAGTCTGGTGCCTTTGACATCTTGATTGCAATTTGCTCAAGGCAAAATGTAACTCCGTTGTCCAAAGCTGTGCTGATACTTAGGAAATAATGTTTGAAATTCTGAATGCAATATCTGGCCTGTATAAATGAATACAGAGAGCAAACCCAACAACTAGGCATTTTTTTGTATAATTCTGCCTTGTAAGGAATCCTCTGTTGCTTCTTCTCAGTTTTCACTGAGATAGTTTGAACCCATTCATCTCCATGCATCCATCTCTATTCATCCACTGCTCTAGTAGGAGTACACCACAGATTAATTAGTTGAAGACAAATATCAAGCATCTGATAGAGAATTCCAGAGTGAAATATATACACGCTGCCTTTCTTATTCCAAAGTGTATTTGTTATAAACTTCAAGGAGTGTCTCTATGCCTCAACCTAGGAGGACAGAGGTGCAAAAAATCACCAAATAATACTGTCTTGCAGCCCTGGGACACAATCCAACTTCAGCTGTCCTCAGGGAACGAACCTGAGAGGAAGCAGCACACAGGGATGCTAGGGAGTAAGTAAGAGGCCAGGCACATCACACCAGATGCAAACCAACATTACAGTGTACCCTTCAGCCCTGTAGCTGCCTCATGAATAGACCCTGGAGACGCAAAGGAAGAGAAAGGGGGAATGGTATGAGCGGGGGAGGAGGAAGAAGAGAAATAATCCAGGCAAACCCAAGCTTTAGGGCATAAAAGTATTCAGGACAGAACCACAGCTTGTCAATGGGCATGTTATCTAAAACCAGACATCTGTTAAATATTGTATGTGACAGCTCCTGTTTTAACAAGCCACTATTCTCAAAGCATCTGAAATAGAATGCATTTATGACAAAAAGTGAAAAGTTTTATCTATATATAAAAAGTTATATTGATTTATAGGTATAATATATACTATATAACATATATTTATAAGTGCATATATGGTATTTTATATAATAGTGGGTTTATATAAATTTATACATACATATATATGTAAATATATATGTGTATGAAGTATATATATGTATATAAAGATTTTATATGAAGGCAGATTTGGGGATCTCTTTTATGGATATATTTATGGATCTGAACCTTACCCTCTGTAGTGCATTTAGTTGTCATAAAGAAGTCCTCATCTGCCATCATCTTTCTCTCAATTGCTTCAACTCACTTCAGGATCTCTTTGTGTGCTGCAGTCTATACTACCTTATCCCCTTCTGCACATGATGACACTTTGTTGAAAAAATCTCCTTTATGATTGATTTTTTCCATGCATTACTTCAGTCCAAGATGACTTTTCCTCCTGGAAACTTTAAGCAAACTGATTTGCAATTTTTGAGTTAACCAATGGTGAAAAGATATAGATATTTCCCCTTGTAAATATTTTCATATGTTTTTATGCTGAGGCATAACTCAGAAATGTCTGCACACCCAAAATTTCTTGGTTAACTACTTCTCTCTAAGGACAAGGATCTTTGGTTATTGGTAATAAACAAACAGAATAAATGTAACTGTTTATAAATATTTAATTTGTTGTCCTTGCACATCTGTAGTAATTGATAATATTCATTCTGGGAGCTACAGCACGCAATTTGTTGCAGCATGAATGGCTAATTACAGTGAAA